GTCACGTTTGTTTCCAATCATGTCTTGGAAGAACCCTGAACCGATCATCCTCACTGCGGCTTCCACATTCTTGACATTCAATGTACCCCCCTTTTCTGCACCTGAATCTACGAGGACACGCTTCTTGTCATCGCTGCTCGGGCGACTTCCACGAAGGAGGATATAGGCTTGGATCTCTGATAAGTCAATCTTTTTGCTAATCAATTCAGTCCAAATCACATCATTTCGAGACAGATATGAGTCGCTAGATTCATCAGACTTCTGTGATCCACGATACAGTGCCTTCTCCACTATGTCAAACTTCTTCCCCAACGGCACTGCACCCCATTTGCCGCCGACTAATTCGACGATCTTTTGAATTCCCTTGGCGTCATTGACTAGGACTTCACTCCTATGTAACTGCAATTTCTGAAAGGCTGTTCCTTTGCACCCCAGGACTAAGCGTGTTGCTAGCTCTAAGATCTTGTTGGATGGCCACGTCAGTAAAAGCAGTTCCACCTTGTTGGTCCATATCTCCACATTGTCGACCGACGGGTCGAAAGTTGGCACAAGGATTGCCAACTGGTTTGGCACCTGCCCAGTGTCGCTGGCTGCTTCACTAGCGGTCCCTGACATGTCGCCGGGCTCCGCTACCAGTTTAGAACTGGCAACGGACCCTGAAACACCTGAATGGTGTCCCTGACACCCTTCCCAAGCTGCACGGCAGCGCTATGTTGTTCTTTTCCTCCAGTTGATTGCACAACGTCCAATCGGCCACGATCGTAACGCCTTACCAAGCACCGAAGGTAAGGAACCAGGCACAAGCTATCCTCACCCTCCACTACGGGCTCACAGAGCCACCCAGCTGCAAGAGAACGAAAAGCTGCAACCCTTACTCTTTGGATCTCAAGTGAAATGAAGATGATGTGCATTGCGAATCGGCAGTGTTGATTTCACAATATAATTATATATTTAATATATATATATATTTAATATATATATATTTAATATATATATATATATTTAATATATATATATATATTTAATATATATATATATATTTTATATATATATATATATATTCTGATGTTATACTACATAATATATATATATATATTGCCTAGTAAAAGGTTGGAGGTGTTTGATGCTGGTCGGGGTCAGTCCAAAAAACCCACCTGTGGCACAGGTGCCGGTCCCTACAGAGGAGGTTTTGAGCGACCTCAGTGGGAGACGAAGGCGGGCCCATGGCAACCCCAGAAAGATAGAGACGGTTTGGATGTGAATTTCCTTGAAATCCGTGCCTATCTTTTTGGGATGAAACACCCATTTTCCTGGATGTGACATTTTACAGTTGAATTTCCTGGATTGAAATGTGAAAACATCTATTTTCCCCCCAAATAGATGAAAGGAGAAGCCTTCAAATGATGTTTACCCACCATTTCCTGCCATAATTCTCAGGTTTCCCATTTTTCTGCCACTTTTTTTGGAGGTTTTGGAGTGTGGAAAAACTGGCGATTCGATTCGTCATTGTTCCATGGACCAGCTTGCACACACTGGCTAGTTCTGTACTCACAGAAAATGGGCAGATCACCAATAAAGATGGGGTTTTCCTTTGTTTCATACAAGAGTCTCATGAGTAAGTAGCTTTACCAACAAGAATTAAGTCATGAATATACACTGTATGGCGTTTGAACTACTCTTATCAGTAGTACTGGACATGATGAAGGCCAGGAGATGGGTCAGAATTTGTTGAGGCCCTTGGAATCCGAAACAACAACCCCATTCTCGGGTATTTGCCACCAGCAACACTCCCGTATACGTATACATCATCTCCTTATATATTGTTATAAGGACGGAGTCACGCTGCTCATTGCCAAGTTTGTTTACCAGAGAGTAGATTGCTAGTAGACAGTCACCATACTTAGCCAGTCCCAAACTGCTCGTCCCATTTTCATGCGACTTTGGACATCTTCACCTTACAACACCAACCATTGGGAGGAACCACCAAGTGATGTTTGGAGTCGATACAGTGCCATGACAGGTGAGATCTCCACCCATCCTGAAGCTCCGGAGTTGCTTATCATGACTATTAGACTATTAGACTGTCCTGAGTATGATTTAGTGTAATCATAATCATGAAATGGCATTATTCCTATTATTATGATTCTCATCTTTTTGTTCTTATCCTAAGTAAATTCATTAGTTTTTGTTCCTTTCATCTTTTACCCTTGAACAAAACCGTATTGTACATGATACTAGCATTGTCACTATCACCATCATTATCTATGATCCTTTCCATCTTTCTCAAGATTATGATTATCCATCCTTTATCTATGTTCCTTTCCATCTATTGTACATAATATTACTAATATTACGGCCAGGCGCTGTGTGTTGCCCGGAACGTTCAAATCGCGTTTAAACATGTTTAAACATTATCCTTCAACATGCTCAAACACCTGTGCAGGGCCAGTGTTTTGAGATTTCCCAGACAACGAACCCTAAACCCTAAAACCCTAAAACCCTAAACCAGCCTAAACCCTAAAACCCCAAACCCTAAAACCCTAAAACCCTAAACCCTAAAACCTAGGCTCTGAAAACTTTGAATCCTAAACTGGAAAACATGGCATATACGCAATATTTTCTGCAATCTCTCCTATTATTCGACAGCACGACATTCTCAATGTTGATGTCTGGGCAACACATGGCGTCTGTGGGTAATACTACCATGATTATGCACACTTGGTCGCCTTTTCCCGCAGGGCCAGAGGTGAAGCTTCACAGGACGCCTCGGGATGGGTCGGTATGCCGGGGGTAACCAACAGAGGCAATGGAAAATACCTTTTCCGAGGTTTGAATGGTAATTTATAGGTGATTTTCCATAGAAACCTATAAATTACCATTGAACCCCCCATTTCATCAAAATCAATAGGTTTTATAGGTGATTTTCCCATTGAAAGCCCCATTTCGAGATTTTCGAGTGGATTTCGAAAATTGCCACGTTTGAGTACCGGAGGGTATTCATTGTGTTCATTCAGGGTGGGTGTTCAACGACACTTCATCAACGGTGCCAACAACGATACACCAGGAAGGCTCCATTGGCAAAATGCTGGATTTTACCAGCAAAACTGGATCTAACTAACAAGCATGGGGAAAAAACAACACCGTATTTCTATTCTCAAAGGTTTCTCACTTTTCCACCCAGCTTGGCAAGAAAGATGCAAATCGACTAAAACTACATGGAAGGGCTGAAGCGACTCACGTGCAAATTTGCCTCGAGCCAACGGCTGGAACGAACATCCAATTTAGTCGTGTTTTCGTTTTTTGAGTTCCAAGGATCGTAGACTGCCATACTCAACTGAATCTGGAAGTGAATTTGCCATTTGGCAATCTCATTTGGCAGTGGAAAATCCCTCGATCAAAATTTGATATTTCTCAAAAAAAAACGATATTCCCTTGGTTTTCGGATATTTCCCAATGGACTTCCTATATTTTACCATGAATTTTCCTATATTTTCCCATCACTGGGTCCTTTTCCAAAGTGAACTCGCAGGAGGCGCCAACCTCGCCAGCGCCTTCTACACCCAGGACGCCCTGAGGGTCCTGTTTCATGAAGCTACTTGACAAACTGCCAGATTTTGTAGATCAAATTCCGAAGTAGATATCTGTAGGCTGACCACGTGCGTTCTGGAGTGTTGCGTAGGCGTCCTGGGCTCTTCGCGTAGGCATTTGTTGAATTCCTTCCACTTGGCGTGGGCCTGCGTATACACTGCTAATAAGTACCTTAAGTATCCTTAAGTTAGTGTATGAAACCTAAGCACGCAACACCAGTGCTCATTTCGAATTTCCTCTGGATTGTGCGACTCAGTTTGCGCATATATTTGGCAACTATTCTTGCGCAACTGTTCTCTTGCAGCTCATCGGATTTGGAAACGAATCTTGCACAACTGTCCCAACCGGGGGGATTCGCACGTGGGCCGGGGTGGGGTTGGTGGGAGGTGGGGCGGCGCACTAACGTTCATGTGAGCTGTATTAAAAACCCCGTAATACTCAGCTATGTATTCGGTGATCCTTGGTCCATAATTCGCCGCACCGCCGCACCTAATTCTGGCCTTAAACTGTTTTGAGGGTAGTCCATTTAGGTGGGGAACGACATCTGGAACGACATCTGAAACGACATCCAAATCATACATAGACATGTATGGGAGTCTGTGAAAACCACATTATATTTGGTTTAGTCTTCCATTTCCATCCCCCATGAGCCATTTTTAGCTTTCATAACCCTGTAGCGTTGGTATGCGGTGGTTATGTCATGCGTTGGTATGTGGTAGCATTGAGTTGCGGGCTGCCCCCGCGGCCGCCAGAGAGCTACCGATTGTGCACGCCGTCGATTGCTACGCTGAGCAATTTTGAAATACCTTCTTCACAGTTTCACAATATCAGTTTCACAATACAACTCTCAAGGTTTCAAACTGTAACCCGCGAGTTTCAAAACCCAATTTCAAAGTACAACCGGGAAATTTCAGACTGCAACTGTCAAATTTCAACATATCCGGATCCATGCATATCTATGCCAGCCACAGATGGTGGTCGCAACTGCATTTGATCCCCGTTTCGCAAGCCCAGTTGTTTGCCAGGACCAGGAGAGACCACCATGAGGAGAGCAATCGATGGCCATCGCCAAAAAAAGACATGTCTATTTGTTTGGGGGTCATGCTACTCCAAACATGGAATGGTTTACAACTACCACAACATTGACTTTATGTGGGCTGCTGGGAAATTGTGATCCATACCTAAATTGGTTTGGCCCATAGACCAGCAACCAATCTTTTGGTCATGGTCGTCAGTGTTGCTGTTACTATCTTATTTTTGTTGGTTTCCGTCTGGTAAGCGAACATAGCGAACTGGAAAATCACCATTTTTAAAGATTTAAATCAACTATAAATCACAATTTTCAAGAGCTATGCAGCTATGTTAGTCATCACCAGAAGGTATGTGTGATTTATTTTAAGAATTGGCGCCTCAGGACGACGTACCTGTCCCTACTTCACCTGTGGCAAGTCCAGAGGGGTTGAGACCTTAGAAACCTCGCTGGAATCCATAGCTGGCCGCAAGTTTCAGCGATTTTCAGATGGGAAAATATGGGAACATACACTATAAATGGAGGAATTATCCCATTCAAATCCATTATTTAGTCAGCAATGTAGGTAAAATGGGTAAAACAATGCCATAAACTACCCATGACTGGGAATGGTTTATACATACCGTTACATACCTATAAAAATGGTGATGACTGGGGGATGGTTTATGGCATTGTTTTACCCACATTACTAGAATTCAGAAGGATTCATAAACAACTGCATTGGCATGTATAAACTAAGGATTACCAACAGAAACGACAATGTGAGGGTATAGCCGTGTAACCAATGAACTTGGGGATATTCATCAGCAAAAAAGGGGGGAACAAACAAAGAGTATTGTCTAACCCAAAAGGGGAACGGGTTTCATATGGGTTTCATGACGGGGAAAAATTGTGGTTGAAACAACAATAATTGGGATCGAAGTTAAACAAAAATGATGAACGATATAGTTTGGAATATTTGGGATATTGCTATGGCCCTTTTGAACCACGGACTTTGGTTGACCTCTAGTATCTGACAACATCTAATCCAGGGCTACCCACATACTGGACCAAGGAATGCCCCCGAAAGGTTGTCGATTCCGTTCCAGCTAGAGAATCACCTGGGTCCAAACGGCCCAAACGACCGCTGCGTCTCAGGGTGATGGGACACGAGGACGCGACTGTCTTGGCGGGGTGAAGGGGGACATGGAGGCAGATGAATCAAGTCTCAAACCGCGTTGCGCTGGCGATACTTTCATGTTGGGTTCAACCAAACATATTCAAACATGGGGTATACAGGCGCAAGAATTACTATTTCATGGGGACATTTTCTAATTCAGCACTGAATTTTGGCCTCCCATTTTCAGAGCCATGTATTATCCAACAGGGCTCCAGCCTCTACACCTTATCAACCTTGTCCAGTTGATACCTTGGCACAGTAGGGAATATCACTCCCAAAATGGATGATTTTCAGGTTAGTAAAATGTGGCAAATTGCCCATGGTGCCATGCTTGTCATCATTCTGGCAGTCTAAGAACTTCCACATCCAGCTGCAAACATCGGCGCTAGGAAGTACCGTTGCCCACCTCCCCTGCACCTTCAGATGATGGCTATGAGGGCAGGTGGCACTGCCCAGATGTTGCCAGTGTTTTCAGCCTGGAAAGAGTCAAAGTATGGGCCAGTTTTGTCAGAGAATTTTTTTCACCACGGCATGAGTGCAAGAACTCCCTGAAACAGACCTGGCTGGCCTGGCGGTGATAATCATCACAATAGAGGCCCCCAAACATCATGGAACTGAATAAGGAAGAAACAATTTGCCGCAATAGGGTACCATCGGTACCATCCTAATCAGGTGCCAACAGTAAGCTTTTTTGGAACCGATAACAATCCGCCATGACAAGACCAAATCACCGAATCACCGAATCACCGAGTTGCGAGGACCTGAGGACCTGACATCCCGAGGCTCCAGTCCCGGTCTCCCGGTCTCCCGGTCCCGTCCCGTCGCCACAGGCAAGCATCGCCGGTAGGAGAGGATGTCCCTTGGATGCAATCGTTGAGACAGGTTTCTGGTCTCGATCCCAACCATAGTTGCCATAGTACCTTGGTGAACATCAAGATAGCTTGTACCATAGTTTCGTTCATCCAAAAAAAACATCATTTTCAATTTTTTTGGGCATCAGCTCCTGAATTCTTTGACGGCCAAAAGCTCGGGACATGGATCCGGTCCCAAAAAGCTTCTAAAAGGCCAAGGCCAAAAAGATGTGCCCGGGTCTGAATGGGGCTTTATGTATACATATCATACAATATTGTATATAATGGCATATACGTATATAAAATTATATATATATATATTGTATATCATATCATATATAATATGTATTTATACATATATGTGTGCCGTGGTAAAAACTTTGGTAAGTTGCCCATATTGGGAGATGGCAAAGTAATACGTAAATAGGGATTTATATATATATATATACTTATCAAAAGGATTCCCATTGAATTGAGGGATGGATGACCATACCACATATAGCATGTTTGGACTAGGGCACGTACAAATACACGTATCTATATTAAGGGGATGGTCTATGTATGTATATGTATGTACATAGATACATATGTATCATATGTATCTATACATTCCATTCTGAGGAATCTCGCATGGTGGGATGACACTCCCCCGAACGATGTTTTTTTTGCATGGCCGCGACAGGAAGTGCCACCTCCCACTTCACCAGTGGAGTCGCCACATGATAGGCATGGCACCGTAGGTTTCGAGGGTTTGGCCATGGATTTTGAACTTGCGGTTTTTATCGGAGGATGTTGAAGCTCATGTCATTCGACAGGTTTGCTCCAGCAGGTCTTCGAAGGGGAGTTGTAGATATTACCCTCTGGTAAACTAACATAGCTATGGAAAATGGCCCATTTATTTTACCTTTTAAAAATGGTGATTTTCTGTAGCTATGTTAAATTACCAGAGGGTAAAAGTGCCTTGAAATAGCGGCCATAGATTGATCATGTTTGTTCAACGTACAGAAACCTGAACTTACTGCGACGTTGTATTTGCCCAGATGGGCCTTCATTCTGGATGCATCCTCACGTACAGAACGATGACCCTGCAAGCTTAGGACGTTTGCCTGCTCCCAACGTCTCACCAAATTGCAGCAACCTCTGACAACGAGACCAAAAAGCTCTCGCAAAATCAAAGGTCAACATTTATATGTATATAATATTTATATTTGGGTAATAAAGGCCACTTCTGCCCGCCAGATGGGTGGGATTTCCAATTCTCGCCAATGTACCCCTCAGGGTCCCACATGATGTTAGCCAGGCATGGCCGTGACGACCAGGAGCCAAACGAGCAAAAATTCGATGTGGGAATGGATTATGGGACTTGCGGAATCGGTTGATGGGTGGAACATTAATGAAAAAACCGGTTACTTCGGTCCGAACAGCAGGGCACCAGGGTTTTGGTCTATACCCAAGTGTGAAAAAAAATGTGACCCCTATTTTGGATATTTAACCTTCTAGAATTCCCCAAAAAATCATCAGTGACCTTCCTGGATTTCCAGGAATATCGTGGTTTGTGCACGAATGGTGTACCCCCAAATCGATTGATCATTGTCATCATCGTTCAATTTGCTCAATTTATAGGGGTCTTTGAGTTTTAGACACATCCACATCATCCACTTCTGGTTTGGAAATGTTTGGAACCATGGAATTTGGATTGACTTTCTATTCAGTTGGGAATTTCATCATCCCAACTGTTACTCACTCATATGTTTCTAGCCATTATATGATATTACTAGTGGTGAATAGTTAATAATCACTTGATGGCTTATGAATGGCTTTATGAATGGCTTATTAAAATCTCTACCAACCAGTTATCATTTGGTTATTTAACATAGCCATGGAAAATCCCTTATAAATGGAGGTTACTAGCTGGGAAAATCATCTATTTCTATGGGCCATCTATACCATGGCTATGTTTGTTAGTCATAACCAGAGGGTATATAATCCCTTCCCCCTAATACTAACCATACTAACCCCCCCAAATAATAAACACCTCAGGTAGTAGGTCAACCACCAACGAGGGTGAAATCCCAGGAGATCCCATTGCCAACATCTCCGGTGACATCACCCGCAGATGATGACAGGCCATGTCGTGTAAACTTAAACGCCACGGGGGTATCAGGCTTTGGGATATACATACTGTATATATATATATAAAAATGTATACATATAGCATGTATGATATATATATACACGTATTGTATGTGTATATTATATTCGTGAATATATATGTATATATATATGTATGTATATATATATATGTAGGGTTCCATGCTGGTGGGCATTTGCTTCTCCGAGTAGTGGAACTAGCCGTGGCGCAGGTTCGCAGTTCCCGTGAGTGCTCAACCTGCCTCACATCGATCAGACAGTGGGGGGGACCTGGCCATTCGTAGGGAAGCCACGGATGTGGAGAGCTTCGAGAGCGTCTAGCCTTACTGCGGCTCAACCCCGCGAATGGTTCAGATTCGGGAAAGCATTCCTTGGATATCCTCTAATGAGATTTTGGAATTGCAGTTGAATGATCCAAAGGTGTGGCTACTTAAGACTTAGACCCTAGGGTGGATGTAAGAAAAAGAGTGTCTCCACGTGACTCGTAAATGTTGTATAGCAGCCCCCAAAAAGATGCCTAGCACAAAGATTTGCAACCCAAGTTGGCAAGATTTTTCGCAATCGGTGAGTCAGTATAGATGATACAGATTGACTCCACTTCCCAGTACCCTCTGGTAATTTAACGTAGCTATTGAAAATGGCTATTTATAGTGGATTTTCCCATTAAAAATGGTGGATCTTTCCATAGCTACGTTAGCTTACCAGAGGGTAGATTGATTCTCCATGATGAAATGCCCTAGACGGCAAACATCCCTTGAGGCGAGAGTCTAAAGTCTGGTTGATACTATTTTTCCCCAAGAGCGCCTAGGGGTCTCAGCCCAGATAAACGTACCACACAGTTATACATATATATATATATAATAAATTAGCCATCAGAAGCAAACGAAGTTGTGGTTAGTATATACCAACTTCAATAGGATTTAGTTTGGTACCAATATCACCGAGATGGGTACTTACAAACCGACCGAGGCTTTATTCCTGGACAATTTTATGGCAAAAACCAATCAATCCAATCACTCCACGTCATTTTCCCCTCATTTCATCCATGAACACCGAGCATTTTCCATCGTTTTTCCATGGTTTTCCATCCAATCAGTGGTAGGATTTCCGCTCGGTGGGCTTGGGCTTCGAGGTGCAGATGTCACGGAATCGCCCAGCGAGGATCTGCCGGTGCCCACGGAGGTGCCAAAAAAATTATGACACCATGATATTTAGATTGAACATTCCCATTACTGTCAACCCTAGATTAATAAACCCCTAGGCTGTTTAATTAGGAAATATTGGGAAGGTACCAGCTAAGTATCATTATATGCAAAGATCATTGATCATTAACAATTTATTATCTGGTTGATGGTTTGGAACATGAATGATTTTTTTCCATAATATATGGATTACATGGGAATTTCATAATCCCAATTGACTTTCATATGTTTCAGAGGGGTAGGTCGACCACCAACCAGCCATTATATGATATTACTAGTGGTGAATAGTTAATAATCACTTGATGGCTTATGAATGGCTTTATGAATGGCTTATTAAAATCCCTCATTTGTAGGTGATTAATGTGGGTAAAACAATGTCACAAACCATCCCCCAGTCATCACCATTTTTATAGGTGGTATGTTTGCCATTCCCAAATAGGTGGTTTATGACATTGTTCTGCCCACATAATATGCTATATGCTAGTATATGCTAGATATATCAACATGTGATAGAAATGCTAGAAGTAATGATACTTATATCTAGCTAGATATATGTGATAGTAATGCTATTAAATATGTGACATTATAACAAGGATATATGCTGTATATATATATACACATGTGATAGTAATTATGACACCATGGTGTTATGATATTGACCCCTTATATTCTACTGTTGATGTTAGCAATGTCACAAACCAGCCATATAAATGGTTTCAATGCCACCCATAAAATGGGTAATACAGAGGATGGTACCAACATAATCCGTTGAGTTTGGCTTCCAAATTTTGGGACTAAGACCAAGAACTATGACTCAATGACAGTGACTGGGTCGTTTTCAAGGACATTTTCGAAACCACAGTGTTCAAAGCCCAAGGGCTTTGGGGCGTTAACTCTGCGTAGAGTTTCCCTTACATCAATCCATGGGTTGTGATACCAGTTGGTTCATCGGCTTGTTCCAAGTTTCTTCGGAATTTATAGGAACCCCCGTTCGATCTAATGCGTTTTTTTTAAAACGAACACATGGTTTTTTTCCAGACTTTCCCTGAACTAACACAGCGATTGATTGGTGTATTTTAACACCTTCCTGGCTTTTGGGATGATTGCTAGACCTCAAATGGATTCCACTGGGACTGGGAATGGCTTAGGAGTACTTTCCTGGCAAAACTCAATGGTGGAATACGTGGCATCAGAGGAACCTCAAAAGTCTTCGCGGGCACAGTTGGCTGGTTGAATGCGAAACATTCCCAAGCTCAAGTGAAAAAGTTATCCATTTCAAGAGATGTTTCAGCCCCAGATGGAGGACATCACCATGGGAGCACCCCAAATTCGACAATTTGTTGGGCTATCCATGCTACTGCCGCGTTAGGCACGGCCGACATCAGAAGCGCCCAGCTTCGAAGAGATTGAGATCCTGCTGGACGAGGCGACCATGATTTTGGCTGGGGATTTTAAGGAAACGAACATTCATGTTGACCTCTGATTAATACCCTGTTCAACAGCGTTTAGCTTAGAGGTCTCGGCCTAGGGCCTAGATTCGGTGCGGCTGGTGCGTTTCAGGAGGTTCAGGTGCAGGGTCTGGCGAGGTTCCGGGAGCGGGTTCCATGGTGGTTTCTGGAGGCTCCAGGGTGGTGGTTCCGCAGGGACTCTGATTTGTTGGCCATGGTTTCTGCTGTGCCTTGTGGGACTGGATGGTTCTGGAGATTTTGGTGCAGCTTCGGACTGGTTCCTGGCTGGTTCCGGTTCAGTCGGTTCCAGGATGGCTTTGCTGTTGGGGATCACCACCTGAGCTTATTGGGGGCTATTTACTAATCAGAGGTCAACATCAAGGGCACTGGAGTCTACAAAGGAAGTTCGGAAGATCCTCCAGAAATCGTGGTTTTTCTGGTTAGTAGAGTTATGCGAACTGATTTCATGATGTTTTTCATGAGGATTGTAGTCTAGTCTAGTCCATACTGTAACAGGGAATCCCGGCTACAACCATGGTTGGGATGACGGGAGCCAACCGGGATAAACCCAAGCATCATGTTGCTCTGTCGTGATCGGAACTTATCCAGAAGTTAACCGTTTATGAAGGATTTTATGGATTTTTCAGGTTGGTGGTTTCAAATCTTGTTTGCTTTCAATCCTTACGTCAGATGATTATTTCCAATCGACCATCATTTGCCCAAAACAACCCAGTCTTGCATGGTAAAGCGTGAAACCAACATTTTCATCCACTTTCATTTTGATAGTTAAGCCCACATTTTTCAGGGTTGCTCCAACCCATTATATATAAGTAGATTATAGTTATAGCCACACGAACATGGGTCATTTTACCTCTTTATCTAGTCCTTTTCCCCCGCTGTTGCAGGTGGGGAGTTGGGAGCAACCAACAGTTTTTTTTTGGTGATGGTTCGCGGCCTTTTTCTACAGTTTTCCCTTATATCAGCTGGTGTCATCCAGGCTGCCATGCAAGCAGAAGCTGCAGCTTGGGCGCTCAGTGGGACCCAAAAGGGCCCTCTGGTGTGTGGGTGCAGCTGTCCGACCAAGCCGAAGAATGGGGGTATAGAAAAATGCCCAAATATGGCAGTTTGGATATGTTTGGATAGGGAAACTATAGGAAAAAGATGATTAAACCTGGTATCTATGTATTTTGCTGTTTTCTTTTGAGGATTGAAACCCAGTATAGGAATTGGAATCCACGTACCACATATCAATCAAGCAGTAAGGGGATGACACCAGGTTTCCAATGTGGCAAGGATGTGAAATTGTAACATCACGCTAGTCGTGGCCTGGCACTTCGACTTTCTGGGACAGATTTGTGGAGTGATGAATCCGGGCACTCTATTTTTGCAGGTTCAGACCATGTGATGCAATGCAGTTCACATATGTACAGAACTTCTACTGGTTGATGAAGCGAATACTGGGGCCGCATCTCTGGGTTTTGAGGGCCTTGAGCTGCGATGGGAGAAAACACCAGGAGATACCAGCAGAAAAAAAGAACTCAACCTGATATGTACATGACTCTTGGGTGATTTCAACATGTTTCAATCATTTCATGATGTTTTCCGTGACTACAGTATTTGGGATGATGATCCCCAATGACTAATATTTATGTGATCGGTTGAAGCATTTTTTCATATGCACTCAAGTAAACATTCACAGTTTTCTAGGAAGACATAATTTCCATATTCATATATCATATATATCATATATATAGAGGTTTCCGTCCAGTCATGGGGGTACCCCAAATCCTACTCATGGATGACCATAACTTCGTGACTAGGTCCCAAATGGTTACCCCATGGTGGGGCTTCCATGGATCCATGACGAACCGCTGCGAGGAGATCGAGGAAGTCATCCCATTGCGCCTTGGTCACCCCCATTTTTTTTGGGGGATGTCAGCAAGGTTTTTCATCACTGTTGGGCAAGGTTTTTCCATGTTTTTCCCCCCATTTCCAGAGATATTGTTGGCTTTTACCACTAGGGCGCAACCCCCAGAAGATGGAAAATATGTGGATCTGTTTTTGGGGCGACTGAGGACCTCAAGCTTGCCATTCTCGAGCGCGCCGCCACGGGATAGCAGTCTGCGCTCTCGGAAGATTGCGAAAACGAGGGGTTCAGACAAAAATCTCCCATTTTTTTTTGGATTTTGGCAAGAAATCCATACATTTGATGGTCAAAACCCATGATTTCAAGAACGTCTTGCCTCAAACCAATCGATTCAGAATTCGAAACGGCAAATCAGAAGAGGGTTTAATTTTGACCTGGAGTCGTTGTTGGTAAGTGGCCGTGCTCGGATGGCTCTTTTTTCAGAAAAAACTCAGAAGGCCGGAGGGCATCGACTTGCAGATGGTTGTGTTGTAGGAAACACGCGCCAGAACTCCTGTGGTCGTTCTCTTGGTGTATTATCAATCAACAGTAGATACAGGTGGCTTTGTGCAATATTTCAATATCCATGAGAGCGGCCGTAGTGCAAAAGTTCCAGAGGGCCGGCCCCTACATGAACGTTCCATGGATTCCAACATGACATGGCTTTGGCTGAAAACCAGGGGGCTTGCCAGCTTGCCGCCACAGATATATGGTAATTTTCTGGTTCTGGCTAGAAACGTTTACCTTCTCCCTAATAGCGGAATTTAGTCTTATGGTGGACTTGTCTTGGATCTGTCATTCTGGGATTTGGGGTTTCTATATAGGGCCCAAAATAGCTGGTAGTTATGGATGTATAATTCATATAATTCAATTATCTTGGAATAGGTTTTGATCGCCATGTGATTCCAATTTCTGTTTCCAGCCTCAGGCACCGAGCCCACCTCGCCAAACATGGCCTGGGACCCTGGGGAACCCAGGGTTGAACCCTGGGGACCTGCCGGATCTGAGAAGCCTGGGAAAATTTCGACGACCCCCCCAGACCCAGATACCCTCTGGTAAACTAACATAACTATGGAAAATCACCATTTTCAATGGGAGAATCCACAATAAATGGTGATTTTCAATAGCTATGTTAGTCATTACCAGAGGGTACACCCAGCATATTTGAAGGTGACCAGTGACCAAACCCCCATGGATTTCCGGTTTTTTATTTCCCGCCCAGGTACCCACTTGTGTACCTTCACCCACGGAGATTGGAGACGAGCCCACGGTGGGAATGGTTGTGAAAGTTGATGGGCATGGTCGGTTGTTTGAGGCCTTGTTTAACAACATGACTCATGACTACCGGTTTCTTACCACTTAACCCTGGCTACAAGGTGGACAAGATGGGGCTACAAAAGCATCAGAAACGGAGGTGGGTGATAAAAAAGGCTATGTCAGGCTATGTCACAACATTTGGGACTACAATGCTGCACCAGTTGATGTTCATTTTTTCTGGAAAGCAATGTTGTGGGTTGCCAAATCAGTTTCTTTCAGGTTGGAGAAGCAATGTATATAACTTTCGTAGAGAAGATGGTTTCCCTAATCATATTCTCGGGTCCTGCCTTTCGTAGAGAAGCCCAAAGCTGCAAAGCTGGAAGGGAAAAAGAGCCGCCTTTTGGGCCCCTATTTTCTAGTCCATACCGGGGTATATAATTATATATATTATATATATATATACAAATGTATGTATGTACATGCCATCTGGTGACTCACATTCATAGCCATGGAAAGATCCACCATGCGATTAATAGGTAAACCATCTATAAATGGACCATTTTCCATGGCTATGTTAAATAACCAGAGGGTAATATGTATATATATGTATACTATATGTATGAAATACCAATGAATATCTACTGACTATCTCCCTGTTCTTGATTGTAGTACATATCCCCATTTTGATGTCCACAGTATTATCCAATGTTTAAGGGGGTCATATCACCACATAAGTTCCACTTTTGGCTTTTGGTGGCTATGTATTCCGTTTTGGAGGTAAACTAAAAGTAAATGTCGTTGTGTTTTTGGTGGTAAATGCCTTCCTGTTGGTGGTCACATCCCACTTTCACCCCGCTTGTCTGCTAGGTTCCCTTCCCGACTGTGACGCGACAGCCCACGGCAACTGGTATGGCGTGGGTGCTCGGGGGTTTGGACTGCCCGACATCATTCAGAGTGCCACCATTTGCTTTCTTTCTTGGGGAGCCATTTATTCATATATTTGTTTGTATCAACCAAAAAACAAGTAATTCCCTAAACAGTTTCCCACCCTTCTTTGTTTAGATCTTGAGCGACCCATTACCAGCATCTAGTGCCGTTTCGTTTGAAGCTCATCAGGTACCCGAGGTGCCAGTGCTGCAGGCGCTTGGGGATTTCCCCATGTGGAAACACATGTGGGGTGCTGGGATGATCCTTGAAGTGTCATATGAAATTCTCGCAAGTACATATTATGCGCTCGTACTGTACAATGTGCGTGTACACACGCATCTATATAAAAATATACATTATATATATACATTATATATATATATACATACACATTATACACATATATACACACATTATACATATATATATATACATTATATATATATATACATAAAACTATATATATATACATAGCTATATATATAACTATGTATATATATATAGAGATATATATATAACTATATATATATATAACTATATATATATAACTATATATATAACTATATATATATAACTATATATATATATAACTATATATATATAACTATATATATATATGTAACCATATATTTCTCTTGTAATTTAACATAGCTATTGAACATGACCATTTATAGTGGATTTTCCCATTAAAAATGGTGATTTTCCACAGTTACGTTAGTTTACCAGAGGGTATAAACCAACGTTCACATCACTGGTTTTCCCCCACTTGGCCATGGCTACTCTCTGGAACCCCCAAGCCTCTGACAATCAGGCGCCCACAGCAGTGTGCGGAAACTCAGGGACGTGTGCAGGGGCCAATGGGATCATATGGAATAATGATAGGATCATGATGGGCCGATGACAGCATTCTGGGATAATATGATATGATAGGATAATAATGATAGGATAATGATAGGATCATGATAGGACGATTGTGGGATGGGATAATTCTGGGAAATTCACAACATCATTATCATTTATATGTAGTAATAAGCCACTGCCACTTTTGGTTTCTGAAAGTGTGTATACCACTTGTGGAATGATGTGGTTACTGACCCCGTTTTGTGGTTGGTTACTTGGCACATCGCTTTCGCAAGTAATCCTAGTATTCTGTGGATGGCAAAGCAAATTATTGTCCCAGTGAATGAATTGTTATTAAAGGTCCATATATTGGAGTACTCTATGAAGTATAAGTCATTGGCAAATTATTTTTGTCCATAGCATCATTGTCCATCTATTACAATCTGGTTGGTGGTTTCAAACATTTTTTTTATTTTCCATTTAATATATGGGATGTCATCCTTCCCATTGACGAACTCATATTTTTCAACATGGTTAAAACCACCAACCAGCTATGGTCCCAAAAAATGAACAAATCATCCCAATCAGCAACTTCTCGTCGTACGATGGCCCATGATGGCCCCTAGGCCAGATTCTGCCGTGTATTCCTCTGCTGCGTTTGTGTGCGGAGCTCAAGAGCTTGTTTTTGAAGAACAGAAAGCAGGTGATGAAAAAGTGTAGATGATAGAGATCAATAGATATCAGGATTTAACTTCTATGAACCAGGAGCATTTGGCTTAATTTGAGCCCTTTGGATCTGTTGTGGCTACTGGTTTTCACTCATCTATCGCTTTTCACCTACCATTCTCTGAGGTTTACCAGACCTTTAGGTCAAAGGTCGGCATGGAGTTGTGTCATGATATTGGTGAGTTGTAGGATCTACAACATGTTGAATCATTTTGGTGAGTTTAAGCATATTCTCTCAAAGTAATCCCTTCTAGATCTTTAATATCACCAACATTTAGGAGATTTGAAGGATTTACATGGACTTTGCAATGTCTGCATTGAACATTCCATTTTCTCCAGGGGGGGCCTAGCCAGGTTGCTAACCAGCGCTTTCGCAATGGTCGGGGTCAACGAACCACTCAATGTCCAATTGCCGGTTGAAACGACGAACAAAAGGAAGCTTGTTCGTTCATGTTTTCCTTTCTTTTGGTATGCCCCCCATGATATCACTCTTATATACCATTTAAATCCATTTTTTTGGTATACACCGCACTTAATCATGTAAGAAACCCATACTCTTTCTTGTTCCTGTTGTATCCCGGTATTCGTTTGCGACCTTCCCATGCCGGATTGAGGACCTCACCAACTGAGATGCCAATGCCCACCGAATTGATTTCTCCAACCAGCATCGGAGACCAGGTGGGCATACCATCGTGCGAATTGAGCAGATCATCATGACTATCATGGTGCTGCTGCTGATGATGATGATTATTATGATGATGATGATGATGATGCTGGTGGTGGTGATGATGATGCTGATGATATTTTGTATTATTGTTACTTTTATTAAATTGTTCTCATTATTTTCATCATTACAATTGTCAATATAACGATATAATGAGGGACCTTTTGATCATAAATAAATCTCTTGCAGATGGGACGCCTATGGTGTCAGCAAGACTTGTCGGGCGCGCAAACACAGGTTTGAAAGCTTGTATGACTGAATCCATCCAAGCTGCGAAGAAGCGGATCCTGTAGCTTCTACAATTTCGATGTTTACATGTTTCAAGATGGCGCGTCACCAAAAGCCAAGCTTTTTTGTTGGCTGACCCAGGCCCAAATTTCAGAAAGACCCATGCACAATCTTTCTCTTACATCCGGTGATCTAGGATTTAGCAAGTGTCAGAAGGGGCCAGAGAAACCGTAGCAAGTTAGCACAACAGGATCCTGAAGCCTGACAAAAAACGACTGCTTGCTGGCGCATCTTAAGAGTCAAAGGTTGGAGATGATGTATGCATCCCATTCTTAACTTTCTTGATGCTATGTGTAGTTGATCCTGTCGGGCAACAACTAACCTTGAGCCTCAGCCCTCAGTTCGCAAGGATCTGAGAGTTGTTCATCCATTTTTCCAGAGGGTCTGGCGCTCCCCTTGACCTAACAATGCATGAGCCCAGTGCCCCACTGGAATCCACTGGTCAGGGGGGTCCTATCTTGTGAATATCGCCAGCAAGTCCTAAATCTCATAGTGAAAACTTGAAAAAAATCATCCTCGTAGCAAAGAAAGATCACAACCATTATTCACCATCCATTAACCACTATTTTCACCACTATTAACCATCATTAACCATGGAAAGATCCACCATTTTCAATGGGTAAATCATCTATAGTAGATTCAGTCTTGTCCATTCTCGTCCTGTCTCTAAACGACTCAAAACCATTCAAAACCCGGCGACATGGTTTTACTGGAACTCGAACAAGACGTTCATACCACAGGAGCGTCCGAGGAGCTGTCCCAATCGTTTACTGTCCAAACTGTTTGTTCGTGTGCGACGTCATATTCCTTCGCATTTTGCCGGTCATAATATGCATTTTTTGAAAATGCTCCCAGTGTTTTATGAACCATTAAAGATCATTGATCATCAACCATTTATTCCATGTTTTATTTAGCATCATTAATCATTACCCTCTAGTGAATTAACATAGACCCTGAACATCACCAAGTTTTGGTGGAAACGAATCTTCCAACCCCGATGAATGGCAGGATCATGCAGGGTCTAGGTTAATTTACTGGTGGGTATATAATTAATGCCATTAAATGCCATTCAATGATATTAAAATGATTAATGACATTAAATGACTACTATATGTAAAGACCATTGATCATTAACAATTTATTATCTGGTTGGTGGTTTGGAACGTGAAGATTTTTTTTTTCCATTCAGTTAGAAATAATCATCCCAACTGACGAACTCATATTTTTCAGAGGGGTAGGTCAACCACCAACCTGCCATTATATGATATTACTAGTGGTGAATAGTGGTTAATAATCACTTCATGGCTTATGAATGGCTTATGAATGGCTTATGAATGGCTTATTAAAATCCCCACCAACCAATTATCATTTGGTTACTTAACATAGCCATGGACAAATCCCTTATAAATGGAGGTTTCTAGCTGGGAACATCATCTATTTCTATGGGCCATCTATACCATGGCTATGTTAGTCATAACCAGAGGGTAATATCTACAACTCCCGTTCGAAGACCATTATTCACCATCCATTAACCACTATTTTCACCACTATTAACCATCATTAACCATGGAAAGATCCACCATTTTCAATGGGTAAATCATCTATAAATGGAGGTTTCTAGCTGGGAAAATCATCTATTTCTGTGGGCCATCTATACCATGGCGAACTGTTAGTCATAACCAGAGGGTATATAATCCCTTCCCCCTAATACTAACCATACTAACCCCCCCAAATAATAAACACCTCAGGTAGTTTTTATTAGGAGATGGACCAGATGGACCCTAGTTTTTATTATTCGGGGAGATCACCATTAAATATTATCCAATTATCACCATTAAATCACCATTAATCATCATTAAATGCCAAAGATCCCTCTCTTTTTGACGTCGTTGGGTTTGGTCTTCCACCAGGACTTGGAGGACGACACCAGCGTTCCCACGGTGCTTCGCACCGTTGGCACCGCGTCCACCTTGAAGGCCTCCTGGGATTTTTCCATCTTTGGACAGAAAAAAACCGGTGGATGATCACCGCCCCACGGTGGTTTTTCATTGCCACTGTCTCTTGGAAGATGATCGACTTGAGGATAGCAGATGGTTTTCTGACCTAAAATTTTTGGCAACAATTGGTGACCTGAAAGATAGCGAAACTGCCATAGCTATTTTGAAGCCGCGGGTTGATGATCCGACTGTAGTGCATCAGTTGGACACCTAAAACAGTTAAACAGGATGAGAGGCGTTGGATCTTTCCCTTGGCTGATTCGTTGTTTTTTTGTGGGCAATATCCACTGGCCATGGATGATCTGATGATTTTTAAACGTAAGTTTCAAAGCATTCTTCCCCTCATGAAAACTAGGTGAGCCGTCATCCATCTGAGTTATGATATTGGGACTTGGATTATAGGCCAACAATTTCATTGGTACTACTGCTAATTATAGGCCAACATTTTCATTGGTACTACTGCTACATCCAAGTAATCCAAGAATGAGCCAGTGCTATGCTGGGTTACAACCGGAAAATGACCCTTGGGAACCTGTTGAGCACTCGGAAACTTCCAGAGGACTTTGGTTCTGATCAACTTTTGCGCAACCACCAAAAGGTAGTTTATACCATGTTATACCTAAGTGCCGTTGACTTCAGATTCATCTCCCCTCCCAAAGTTTGATCATTCAATATATCTCAAAAAAAACCCATGTAACGCAACTAAATATCAGCAGATATCAGCAGATATCACTTGTATCAGGCCATGATTCTACCCTCTGGTTATGTCAACAGTTTGCTATTGAAAATGACCATAGAAAGTTCGTGGATTTTCCCATGAAAAATGGTGGATCTTTCCATAGAAAAATCCGCCAGGGCAGCACACGGCCTCCCGGGGAGCGACCTTCGTCCCCCACGGAAGTCATGGAGGAAATGGACACCGTGGAGGTCGGAGTTTGCCAACGCCATGGGAATCGATGGGATTTGGAACATTCACCATCCATGAACCACTATTAAAACCATTATCATTACACTATTATAATAGTGGTTAATAGTGTTTGATGGATGATGAATGGTAATATATAATGGTAATACGTTAACCAATATTACACATTATCCATCATCCCAGCTGGTTAATATCGTTACACTCTGGTCAACGGGCTAACATAACGAACTGGAAAGATCCACCATTTTTCATGGGGAAATTCACTATTTCTATGGCCATTTTCCATAGCTATGTTAGTTTACCAGAGGGTAATGTGGTTAAAACAATATTAGACCATCCCCCAGTCATCACCATTTTTACGGGTACAGACCATCAAACATGGGGTGGTTTATGATTGTTTTAACCACAATTATACCAAAATCTTTGTTAACATGACATAAGATGACATAAGGATATGTATGACATGATGGACAGGATATGGCAGGATGGTTACTGTTATCTCTTCATATTGGATACAAGCAGTGAGGCTTTTCACAATGGTTGGTTGATCAATAGAGGGGTATGGCACATTGGGTGCCGAACCGACCTGCCTATTTTTCTCGACTCAATCTGAGCCATGCATACTTGTTCCTCTGGTGGTTGATGGTTATAACTATAACTTAAAACCATGACTAATGGGGATAGATCGGATAGATCCATATGTATTTGACACGATGGCGACACGGGGATGTGATTTGATTCTTTCAAGTTCAGGGATCCCCAATGATCTGCATCTGAATTTCATGGTCAAAGGGTGTTGAACCAAGACACTCTCGGTGATGGGGATTTGAATCGGAGCCATGCCTAACAATCATCCCTGTTTGTTGGTGGTCTAAACCACAATTCGTGGTGAAGCAACAAACATGGGGGTATTGTACCGGTATTGTATGTGCTAAACAGTGACCACCCTCCAGAACTGACTGTCGGTTCATGGTCAGGCCATGGCAGCTCCAATTCCAGACTGTGGATGTGTCCAAAGAACTAAATTTCGGAAACCTTAAAACAATTGTTAAATGTCCATTCCAAGACCATCATCATCACCACCACCATCAGCATCATCATCATCACCACCACCATCAGCATCAGCATCCTCATCCTCATCCTCATCCTCATCCGGACCCCCTTTCTTGTTTTTTTTGAGGTTCCAATTTGACATTTCCGGGGTGTAAAGATCCCCAAAAGTCACCCCCGTCTCCACGTCCGCAGCACCTGAGGCACCAACGATTTTGAGGCCACCGCCCCAGGCTGGAGATTCGGTTTCGATCGTGGAGATTCACAACACCGTGGCTATTGACTATACTTTTGGGGTTGACCTTGCTTTTGGTCAACTTATTTGACTTCCTGATCCAACGGCGTCCCAATGAGATTTGACACAATTCTGTTAAATTGGTCGACTTTAACGGTTCGGAGTAGTAGTTCCCAAACAGTTATAGTTAGATGAATGGATAGATAGATGGATAGCTAGAAAGAAAAGTTGGACACTTGGAAATATGGCATAAATATCATCGAACTAGCATCCTGGTTTCACACTGAAATCGGCATCTTTTTTGGGGTTTACTACTAGTTATTGTAATTGTATTTGTCGTCTACTGATTCTGAATGATTACATCACAATTTTAAGTCACTCAGTCACTCCCATTCTTGGGTGAATCTGCATTTTTCTTCCACAAACATGGTCGAAATCTGATTTTTATTTTGGTTGAAGATTTTTCCCAGTGTCAAACGATAGGGCCTTGTGATTCTAGTACCCATTGTTAAATGATATATGGGGGTGGGTCAACTATCAATTTAGTGGGATGAACATCCATTTACCAACTATTTTTTTAAAACTGGGTGCCATGACCCATAGCCATGTAATTTTGTCAATCCCCTATATCTTGCTGCTTAGAAAAACCGCAACTTGTGACCCCATCCGTCCTCGCCCTGGCCTCGCCTTGGCCTTGGCAGGTGCCGATGAGTGGCTCGGGCTCCCTGATCACCACCGGTTTGCAAAGCAGCAGCGCGCCGCCGGCCTCGCCAACGGTGCCATGGTTTTGGGGATGGCGCGTGGGTTGCTGGATGGGTTGGGAATGGGGTTGCTGGCATGATGACATTACGAATGTGATGACTTTTGGATCATTCCCGAAAATTCCCTACGTAAAACGCACCAGTAAGATAATTTTATCAGCCAGGGTTTATTAGTCCTGGGTTGACTTTATACATGATATGTAGTGAATCTATACGTCATACAGAACCGCTAAAGACACACACACACACATACACACACACACACACACACACACACCAACACACACACACACCAACACACACACACACACACACACACACACCACACACACACACACACACACACACACACACACACACACACACACACACACACACACACACACACACACACACACACACACAAGCCCCTGTGCCACCCCCGCGTGGCACTCAAGCAACTCAGAGGAGTTTTTAGAGTGGGGACCCGGGCCGAACTTATCTTGTGCGCTTTTCGGTGTGACATCTGCCATTTTTGCCATTGATCCGGTGCTGTGACGCTGCCACTGACCCATTGCATTTGCTCAAACATTCTTTTGCGCTGCCATTTGTGTTGATTTTGCATTGATTTGACAGCTCGTTGGAGCAAACCTTGCAACTGACATTCCAGTTTTTGGCACAATCTCTTGTGCCGCTGCAGATCTCAGAACGACTTTCCTTCTTCTGGTCTGCCTGACCAGCCTGCTACGTGAGTGTGATCTTTTCATTGAAGCAACAACATTTGGTGTCACTTTCTTCCATACTGCGAGCTTGACACAACCACAGTACGATCCCACATTCTGCGGAGTAGGCTTCCGACAACTGCCTGGCCTGTGGGACACTCTGTGCAACAGTTGCGCTTTTTCATTTCTGGGGACAAACTCTGTTACTGCTGAATCAAATCAGAGCATAAGCGGTCATTTTGCAATTTTTATTTCATTACAGGCGTCCTGTGCTCTGGACTCCACAAACTGCGGAGTGGGCTTCCGACAGCTGCCTGGCCCGTTGGAGTACCAACACAATAATTTTGGGGTGGACACCCAGACTGACTGTTCCAGCACTTTTGCTATTGGGGTGGGCTCCCGCTTGTGTCTCACTGGCCCAACTGGTCGTGGCAACCTTCCACGGGAAATTTTGCAGCCGTCCTTGACAGACGATTCAACAGATTGGGAGAGAGCATTCAGTATTTGGTATTTTCTACATACTGGTGGTGGCAACCTTCCACTGATTCCAATATTGCAACACAAAGGGGTTGGCTCCCTAAACCATTTCTTCACTGGCCAATTGATTCATACAGGAGATCTTTTTATATTGGTATATTTTTCATTCATCGATTCTGGGGTGGGCTCCCATCAACAACTGACTGGCCTGACGATTGTGACTTTAACAATTACATTTTGCAATTGGACATTTTGGGCATTTGGCGGCTTACACCACATTGAGATCCACTTCCCTGGCAAAACCATCGTGATTTTGAGTTTCTGGACATTGCGTCCTGAACTGAACTGGGGTAGTGGACCCTTGTACTATTCACAGCTCCAATCCTGGACACAGCACAACGATTTTTTGCCATCAATTGTTTTGACAGATTTTATTTGGCGCTGCCTGCTGGCATTCTTGGCCCTTGCAGCGTGGTTTTGGCAGATCACATCACTGTTGACATCAGACCCGGGAACACACTCTAGCTTGAGTGCAAGACCACGTACACAGATCAGAAACGGCACACCTGGTCCCAAGTCCAGGAACAAGCCTGCAAACCTTTGGTGTCCCAGCATTCGAATTTTTCACTGGATTTGTGCATTCGTGCTGGCCTTTCATTTTCTCCAAGGGCTTGTTAGGGGTGAGGGTTGCATCCTAGTCATGGAGGATGCAGAAGTGTCACAAGAATGGACCCCATCAAAGTTGCTACGCTGTGACACGAAGACACATGACGCGCGGCCTGAACTTGGCAAAACAACTGCCTGGCATCCTGCACAGACCAAAGTAGTCAAGCGAAGCATCCGAAGGGCCTACAAGCGATCCCTCCAAACTGGAGTTGCATGGTACAAAGGTCAATGCCTTGTGCCAATGGACTTTCCCAAATCACTTCGGGATCGTTACACTCCCCCAAGTAATCCTGCCTTCAATAAGCCTTCCATCCCCTTGATGCGCTGTAATCATGATCACCAAGACTCCAAACGTTTTCGATTCATGCAGTGGAATGCAGGAGGACTCTCCATCCACAAGTTGGATGCCATACGCATTTGGATGTTGAATCAACAGATTGAGGCAGCTACAGTGGTCGAGACCAGATGGACATATGAAAATGAATGGAGTGACAGTAATTTTCATTACATCCACACTGGAGATCCAACACAACGAGGTGCTGGCGTGCTCTGTATCCTGGCAAAGACCTTCTGCAACACGGAAGCCATCCGTTGGAGGGTCGACTTGCCGGGACGACTTCTCCACATCCAAGTAGCTCAAGCCCAACGGAAGGTGGACATTGTTGGATGCTATCAGCATACACAGGCCTCCACGACCCAGAGGCAACACGAGCGTCAAAAATGGTGGAATCATTTAGATGCGCTTTTGCATGCCTTATCAGTGAGGAACATACTGGTCTTGACTGGAGACTTCAACTGCGCACTCCCAACTGCAGCAACTCATGGAGGCCCCAACCAATACAAGTGGAAAGGCCAGATGACAGTTGGCGCACAGCACCAGGATGCTGGCCAATTCATGGCTATCTTGCGTTTGCATGGTTTGACAGCTTTAAATTCTTGGCACCCTGACCTAGGCCCAACATATGTGAGTGCTGACCACCACTCAAGAATTGATTTTGTCATCACCCGGAAACATGTTGCAGACGGAATATCGAAACGTGCGGCATACACGTGGGATGCACCCTTCTGCAGCTCTTTCCAACAGGGCCATGCACCGATCCTAGTGCAACTTCGTAAGCAATGGTACATGCCAAAAGCATCCATGGCAGGAATCACACCTGCTCAGCGACGCCTTGGCCATAATGCTTTTTTGATGCATACAGATCAATGGAATGCCTTCACAGCTGCTGCAGAGATGGCGCTGCAAGACACCATGCAAGATGCTCGAATCTCAGATGAACAGTACATTCCTGCACTACATGCCACTGCCATCAGATGTTTCCGTGATTTTTTTCCACACGCACAACCACAACACAGTGCCATTGATCCCACAACCACAAAACATGTCATGTCCAAATGGTTTCATCGCAAACAGTTGATGAAAACATGCCATGCCAGTGCGAGACACCTCTTTCAATTTTGGTTTCACATGACTCAGTTCCAGCGCTTGAATCGAGAATCCAAGAGACTGGCCAGAATTGTGCGCCAATTGAAATTTCAGGAAATTGTCAACTCTGCCCAGGAAGCCGCCAGACGACATGACAGTCATGCACTTTTTTCCATAATCAATAAATATTCCCCTAAACAATCCAAACGCAGAATGCAACTCCGAAATGCAGATGGACAGATTGCGTCACCAGTAGAAGAAGCTGCACTCCTACGACGTTTTGTCATGGACACATGGGATGGACCCCCCAACTTCCCTGTGCAATCCCACTGCTTTCCAGGTATGCCCTTCACCATGCAAGAGCTCCAGCAGGAACTGAGCCGCATACCGGCTACAAAAGCCGTTGCACGGCCCTGTGCTCCTGGCACAGTGTGGAAGGCATTAGCGCCTGTCTTGGCACCTCTCCTGTATGCCAAGCTTCAAGAATGGTGGCAACATCCACGTCCATTTTTGCCTGAGTGGTTTAAAACAAGTTGGATGATTTTAATTCCCAAACCCAATAAACCACCAGTAAACCCCCGCTCATTGCGCCCTTTGGCGCTTCAGGAACCTGTCAGTAAATGTTTGGTAGGCCTGTTGACCCGCCAAGCCCAACGTGATGCCTTGCCAAAGCTGACCCAGATGCCTCTCTGGGCCTATTTGCCGGGCCGTTCCACACAGGATGCACTCATGAGAGTAGCCAATCATGGTAGGGCTGCCTGGAACCTCATGCAACGCCTGCGTACGAGCCCTTTCACACGGCATCAAGGCTTGCCCAAACTGAAGATTGCTGGAGCTTTACAACTTTTTTTGGATATTGAACGGGCATTTGACACGATCAGCAGAGAAAGACTTTTTTGCAAACTACATCAACTTGACATTCATCCCCAATTAATCCAACTACTGTCATTATGGCATCAAGAAACCAACTATAATCTTTTTTCCAATGGTGAAGAATCAGCAATACCTGTGGGAAAAGGTGTACGCCAAGGCTGCCGTGCAGCGCCGCTTTTGTGGAATGGCTACATGTGGTTGTTTTTGGTGGAACTAAGTCAAGTTGTCAGCCCAACCTGGGTCCTGCAGTGCATGAATGTTTACGCTGACGATTGCCAAATGGGAGATTTGTTTGAATCCCAAACTGAACTCCAACAACTCATTTGTAATATCCAAAAGACCTTGCAGCTACTGACCAAGTTTGGCCTGACAATCAATCCAGCCAAGTGCACAGCCTTGCTCACCATGGGCGGCACAGCCCACAGACGTGCGCGCCAGCGCATCACGACCTGGAAAGATGGGAAAGAATGGCTCTGCCTTGGCACCACAGATGCACCACTTTGGATTCCAATTGCACGCAATGCCAAATACCTTGGAACCATCATTTCATATCAGAAATCAGAGGATGCCACGGTTCATCACAGAATCCAGCTTGCCCGTGTTGCATTTGGCCGACTGCAGCGATGGCTGACAGGCAAACGAGGTTTGACTCGTGCACAACGTTTGCATCTTTTCTCCACATGTGTTTATCCTGTCATGACCTATGGTATTTTCTCCATTGGACTTACATTTGCTGGCATTAACAAATTGCAAGTACAAATGTATCAGATGCTCAGGAAAATCCTACACAATCATGCGTATATCACTGGACACAATCATGAACATGCACTGAACTTGAACCGCGTTGAACTCCCGGTTGAATGGTTGTGGCGCTCTGCTGAAACCTTGCAGAGGTCCATCCATAAACGCAACTTGAACGCTGGACCTCAAGATCTTGTTCAACATGTTGACTGGTCGAACTTGACAACCATTTTTGACTTGCTGCATGCACAACGGTGTGGAGGCCCTGCTCACCTGATCCTTGACCCAGACTTGGACATTGCAGGCACAACCAGATGCTATCAATGCACACGCTGTTCATTTCAAACCGACAATGTGGCCACCTTCAGGAGACATTGCACCACTGAACATGACACACGCATGAATAGGACCATACCTGTTAAGACAACTAAGTACATGCAAAATGGCCTTCCGCAATGCAAGTTCTGTCACCAGAAGTTCACAACATGGAGAACTTTCACCATGCATGTGCAACGCGGCTGCCAGGCCGTCCAGCCTGGCCCGAGAGAGTGCTGGCAGGCATCCAGTGAGCCGCTGATATCAGATCCGACACAGCAGCACAACATGTTTGCGCCCAAACAAGATGCACCCATCAGAGGACGGCAAATGCTGACACAAGCTGACCTTCAGAACGTTGCAAGCCAGGAGTGGGGACCCAGGGTGCTCACCATTGTGGGCAATCGCCATTGGCATCACATGAAGAAGGAGACCGATGCTTGCCAGTATCTTGCCACCCGATGTTGCATTTGCGATCAGTACCTGGGACGCACACAGGAATTGCACAGACACTACAAGCTGCATCACCCTGAATACTGGACACATGTACAGACAAAGGGACACCAGCTCACGAATTTGTATGGCGAGGACCCACCTTGCCCATATTGCGGTGAGCTCTTCAAGGCCAACCATCAATGCACAGTATGGCTTCAACTAGCCATGTTACTGGTATACGGAGGAGGTGCCACCAGTGATTTGCCATCCCAAGCTATGCCAGTCACACGCAGATGTGAAATCTGTGATGACACCTTTGCCACTGATGAAGCCTTGCATGAACATCTCATACAGACGCACCGGTTGAAGAGCAGCAGCTACAACCCGGCCAGAGACTCTCTGGCTGGGGAACCGGTGTGCAATCACTGCAATACCATGTACGACTGCATGGAGTCCTTGCGCTCCCACATCAACCAAGGCAGATGTCTCAAATTCAACCCACAACTGCCGACAGAAGTTGTGGATGTCTTGCCACAATGGGTTGATGCAATGTGTCATGGCAAATTGGCAACCATTCTCAGAGATCCCCATGTGCGTCTTCAACTGACACTGAGATGCCAAAACTGCAGAAGCCACTACCAGCGTGCATCCGACCTCTCAGGCCACTTACAGGCTGCCCATGCTCAGCTATGGTCTGAATCTCAAGTCCTGACGCAGGTGATGGTATCAATCCTGTATGATGCCACGGGGTGTCTGTGCAACCCAGGTGTGAACCTCAACCGCACCAACCATGTGTGCTTGCCGCTGCGCCAGCTTTCAATGCAACATATGCGCATGACAGGCCAGATTCTTTTCCCACATCAGCCGACAGATGAAGAGCTTGCAGAGATTTTTTCAATGAACTTGGACAGACAGCACAGATTTCACCTTGAAGAGACCCTCACAGATGGAACCATTTCTGATCTGTGGACTTCATCCATCATCAGGACCATCTTGCGGGAGACCTGTGTACTCTGTGGCATGAAGATGCACCCTGCTGATCTGGTTTTGCACCTCCACGAGGCACATCAGTGTGGACAGCCCATTGTGCAGTTTCTCAAAAGCCAACTCATTTCCAAGTTTGTTGATTGCAATGCAGATGATTTCAAATGCACGGCTTGTGGACAAGTTTACAACAGCCCCTGTTCTGATGCAACTGAGCTGGACGATGCCACCCGACACACTGCAACTCAAGCGCACTTCCGTGCACAGTGTCCCTGTGTGCTCCAGTGTGCCATCATCCTTGGAAAAGCAGCACATGGCCGACATGGAAATGCCAGAACCCGCAGAGGCGAATCAGCAAGTCTGGGCAGCATTCCAGGCAATTCAGCCGCTGATCGACCAGACGCTGAAGCTGGAACAGAACAGCGCTGCGCCCAAGCGGCCAAGAAAAGGAGAACAGCATACCCAACCAGACGGCCGGGCCAAGCAGCAGCCAGCCAAGGACAAGGTCGATCTGGCACACGCCCTGACGTTGCTGGCCAAACTGACCCTCAGATTGGACAAGGATCTTCAGCAGCTGAAAGCCGAGGACACCTTCCTCTTCTTTTTTGGGCACAACGGTCCAAACAGCAGCCTCCAGTGCCTCATGACAGCAACGGAGACGTGGGTGAAGAACTACCAGGCCTCAACGAAGCAGCAGCCAGTGCAGCCACTACGACAGCACTTGGTTCAGGTGCTCTTCAACACACTGCTGACCAGAATCACGCAGTTGGGCGAGACGAAGTCGGGATCCGAGATTCAACAAGCAGCCATACGCAGCCTGATCCTTCTCCCGGATGGCACATGCCCCTTCCTGGAATGGGACCAAGTGCAGAAAGAACTGAAGGTCAGCCAGAAGAAGCCTCTGACCTTGAAACACTTGCATCAGCTCTGCACGGACATGATCGAGCACCTGGCGGATGTGAACCTGGTGGTCAATTTCCATGCACTACCCTCCAACAACAAGGAGACCACAGCCTGGAAACTACAGGTGAGCCTGAGGGCAGATCAGCCGTGGCAGATACTCCAAACCCTGACCCATTCAGGGGTGTGGCTGCTCATGGGGACCTCGATGAAGGCACACGGACAGAGACAGAGCCCTCTTGCCCAGAACCTACAGCAGGCCTTGGGAATGACGAAACCATCCAAGGGCAAAGGCAAAGGCAAGACCAAGATGCTGCCCAAGCAGGAATGAGTGACGTTGCCGAGTTCATGCAGCCTGACCCGAGACTCCTGCTGCAAAACCTTGCGCATCTCACCATGC